AGTTGGGTAGTAGATGTAATAAAAACAAATACGAAGTATATATATATATATATATATATATATAATGTACAGAGAGCGGTCAATTTGCCTGCTTATATATTTCCAATGAAAGACTTGCGCAAGTTGTGTGGAATGCGAATAGGCATATCCACTGGGTTCGCTGGGGAAATGTGTGGTGCGTGCATGCATATGTATACACTGTCAATTTTCTACAGTTTGTATAAGCCTATAGACATTCCCCGCACATAATAGTGACCCGCTGGCACCGTTGCATAGCAGATATGTCTACGAAGATGTTCTACATATTGTAAGATGCACAACATATACATATGCATTTCACAAACAAATCCATACATACACCATATAATATGTGAAAGGCCCACGTCCCTAAACAAGTTATAACACAAAGAAACATGCTATTTACCACGTGTTTCTCAGGGGAACACCCGTGCCGTTGGAGGGAGAATGGTCATCGAAGGTGTTCTATGTGTGGTTTGATGCGCCTATTGGGTATATCTCCATCACAGCCAACTATACCGACGACTGGAAACAGTGGTGGCGCACACCTGAGAACAACGTCGAACTCTACCAGTTCATGGCCAAGGTATGGGTGTGAATGTGCACACACGCAATATGACAGTGGCATGTATAAATAGATTGGACACGAAGTCAGTGGAATATCTGGACACGTGTACGTTTTTAATCGCTGTACACGCTTAACTATACATGCAATAGGACAATGTCACTTTCCACGGTGTGATTTTCCCCACAAGTCTGATTGGCACTGGCAAGGACTGGGTCAAGGTGAAGCATATCAACTCAGTGGAGTATCTCAACTACGAAGACAGCAAGTTCAGCAAAAGTCGAGGCATCGGAGTCTTCGGAAATGACGCACAAGATGTAAGTAACAGGTGTCAAGAATTCTATATACAGCTTCACGTGTTCTAAAAATAGACCCATGTCGTGTATTGAGTGCCATTGTGCACGAGTACACTTCCTACTGACAGACTCGAATGGATCGCCCCCTTTAATTTACTTGCGAAAGTAAGTAGACTCTCGCCACAATTTTCTACCTCAGGCACGTATCAGGAAACTACCATTCACATTTACCCGCGATAGTGAAAGATAAGTTTCTCACTTCAGTTCGTGCATGTATGTGTATTAGTATACTCTTACTCTGTTCTACCCATTACGAACTAACAATAGACTGGCATCAAGGCTGACGTCTGGCGCTTCTATCTACTATGGGTGCGCCCGGAGAACAACGATTCCATATTCAGGTAGGTAGGTGCTCCGGTTTCTTTATTTCTACTGCGGTCGAATTCTGAACTGCATTCTTCGTAGTATAATAGAGGTCATGGTATTGCAAGTGGTTCACTATAATGTCGCCTTCAGACTTTTATCACTGTCCTCATGTATGCTGATGATCACATGTCCTATCGCAGTTGGAATGATTTCCTCGCCACCAACAACAACATTCTAAACAACAATTTGGGCAACTTTGTGCATCGTGCCCTCTCGTTCGTTAACAACACATTTAATGGCGCCGTCCCGACGGCTCAGCCCAATGGTAGGTACTCCACTATTCAGGGTTTTGGTCTTTGAATATAGTTATATATATATATATATATAATATATATATAGATGTATAGATGTATATATGTAAATATATATGTATATATATATACGTATATACGTATATACGTATATATCTATCGAGACGTTACTATTGATGCATAAAATAGGATAACACATGTGTGACGACATGCAATAACCGAGAGATCATTTACCTTGAAACTTGCCATCCCACACTGGTGTTATGTGTCCTGGCTGTGCGTTTTGATTGCTGTATGAATAACAATTGATTAGTGAGAACGTAGCGCATGCGCATATCCCCTCCTATTTGTATGTGAATGCTATACAAAGCACACTTCATGTTCGTCATATATAGATATACTTGTTTGTGGGTGGGGCCTTCTCGAGATAAACATGTATTATTGATCATATAGTTGTCCCTATATATATGTTTTCCTTTATCCAAGTATGGATATGCTGGCTCATTCTCACGGCTCTATCCACACATACAATACACTTAAACATTTGTGTAGCACTTTCCAAGCGTGCGCCTATGTGTGTGAATATTCTTGGCACTTTTTATTCATTTGTTCAGGTTTCTTCATCCATACTCCGCTCGTTGATGTAAATATTATTCACCAATTCATTTCTAACTTCATATGCCCGACCACACATACGACACCATGGCAGAGGACGATTACAAATTTATTGGACTGGTCAACACCGAGCTAGCCAAGTACATTCAGGTACGTGCGTGGATATAGACACATCCGTATTTACATCTTGAATTATGGTTCACCACACTTGCATCACGATGTTGCATGCTTTGCGCGTATTGAAAATTAACATATTCGCATCAAATTACATATATTCACCACTTACATATTATAGTGTGCTTTGCTCGCTTGCACACATTCGCACACACCTGTGTAAGCGTTGTTGTAACGTTTGTTAGTGTTGGACGGTGAATGCTACCTTGCGAACTGTTCGCCTTAACACGTTGTGGAATTATTTGGTACGACTTGCCATAGCCTGCAATTTGTACCGCACAAAAGTGCACTTGTAAGAGAGTGGTTGTCCATCTGGGTGACTCTCAGCCGTGTACGTGTTTGCGAGTGTATGCCTAGTCACATGCTTGCCTGCGAGTCATGTACTTGTGTGTAAAGGTATGCCTAGTCATGTACTTGTGTGTAAAGGTATTCCCAGTCATGTACTTGTGTGTAAAGGTATGGCTAGTCATGTACTTGTGTGTAAAGGTATGCCTAGTCATGTATTTGTGTGTAAAGGTATGGCTAGTCATGTACATGTGTGCAAAGGTATGGCTAGTCATGTACTTGTGAGTAAAGGCATGCCTAGTCATGTACTTGTGTGCGAGTGTTTTTCTAGTCATGTACTCGTGTGTGAGTGTTATCCCAACTATATGCTTGTTTCGGAGTGTATCTACCACCTATGTAATAGTGGTCGACCTAGTCAATGCTGCCGATTTATTCCGGTGCTTTTTGCTTGTTGTATTTGTCATGTTCATATTTTAGAACAATCGGGATAAACTACAACGACACAGAGTAGTTCACTACAAATTCTCTCCAAATTCTGCTAGCATAAGCCAATTATTTATGGAACCCACCCCTTCCATTCACCGCTTCTTGAACCAAAAAATAAATTCAAAAACAGAGAATGGAGGCCTGTCGAATTCGTGAAGCTGCTTTTGCCGCCATGGATATTTCCAAATTAGGCAACCAGTATCTCCAGGCTCAGAAACCGTGGGTTTTGGCTAAATCGTATGTGATGTGTGAAGTTTTGGATCTGCACACACACGCACATGCGCTCACATATAAACACACACATACGCACATACGTTTACATAAACACACACACACACGCATGTACACTGAAACAGATGGTCTTGCGCCAGTGTGTTTGTCTCCACTGTTTGTATCGTGTGAACTTTTGGTAGCACTTGTGGTTTGACATATCTGGGTGCGATCAGGTATACACTTGTCCATTTCTGTTTGCAATACACATCCGCTGAGCTCTGTTTGGGTGTGTGTAACAATTGTTGTATTCCTGAGTGTGTGTATCTATCGGGAATTCAGACTGGATTTTTGTGTCTGTGTATATTTTTGCGTGCAGTAGTCATATCGCACCCAAAAATCTATAGCATTTGCCTTATGTGCCTATATGTGTCTGTACTGAATGTATCGTCAGTGTATATCTTGTGTACCTCTCTATCCTAATCCTGGTTTCCTTGACCTATTGATTGCGTGTACTAGCCAGTGATATGGACTGCATACAACTTTCACCAACTTCCCTTGACTCGCTCCCTTCCAGTCCGAAACAGTGATGTGTACCGTCCACAAATCTACACAAAAGCGTCTGACTGACTCCTGTCCTGTCCTTCAAAACAGCGATATAGACCGCTGTGGTACCGTGGTGTCGATTGCTGCCAATCTGACACATCTCCTGGCCTCGCTCATTCACCCCTACATGCCAGAATCAGCCGCTACCCTTCTGAAGACACTAGATCTGCCCATGTATGTGATCTTAGGAAATCAACCGATATATATACATATATCTATATATATATACATATATATATATATATTTAATATGTATTTATATATATATATATATATATATGTGTGTGTGTTATTTATTGTTTGTATTGTTTATATATATATATATATATATATATGTGTGTGTTATTATTAGTTTGTTATTTATATTATATATATATATATATATGTATTTATGTATGTATGTTTATATATATATATCTATATCTATATCTATATCTATATATACATACTTATATATATATATATATATTTCGTAAAATATATGCATTCCAAGTATATGCAAATGCATTTATATTTGTACGCCATGGTTAGATTTCACAGTACACTCAGTTAAGTGTGTACCTGCAGCAACCGTTACTTGTCTCAAGACACTAGTGGGCATGTCACATCAGATAAACTCTACGTGCCATTGCATTGCTAAATTAATGATGTTTCGTAGGGTTTGCACGATGTCCCCATTGCGTCTTGGTATCTTCCATCTCATCACACTTTCAGCACTTCCATTCTACTCATTGTTTTGTATTTTTATTCCGTTCATTTTGCTATTCCCGTCGCTACCTGAGGATGTGTTAGTTGTTGTAACTCGTCAGATTCTACGTATTTGATAACAAAATACACCAATCTCACCAACCCAACCCAACCCAACCCAACCCAACCCAACCACTTCAGGTTGAGTCTTAACTACGGCTACTTCTACGCGTCTATTCCTGAGGGCCATCCCATTGGCGCGCCGGAGATTCTGTTCTCAAAGATCGAACAAGCCACTGTGGATGAACTCAAAGTGCGCTTCGCGGGTGTCCAGTCTGAAAGAGGTAGGTAAACTTTGACAGGCATCTATAAATGTATTGTTTGAATTATGAAGGTATTGGCTGCTGAGAGAGCAAGTTTATTGTAGCTTTATACAACTTTATGGTTTAGTTTCATTGAGACAAGGCACAGATGATGCATTATGAGAAAAATAATGGAGCTATATACAAAGAAATAGTGCAATTCAATACAGCAGGGAGAAATATAATATATAACCCACCAACGCAATCTAATCACACTTTCTTTGAGAGGCGATTAAATTACAATACATCCTTGCCGAGTCGATCTATTGACCTCAACATATTCGGGCGAACAATAGTAATCTTATGATCACCCACACACAGATCAAGGACTATGATGCTACGTATATCTTCTCATAGTGTTACATTCATACCGATACCCTGAAAATCTGCGTACGTTTTGATTTTGAACCTTCTAGAAATGCAACGCTTGCTGACGGCTAAATAATGCATACGCGTCCAATCGTTACAACAACGTATCTAAATGTAATAATCTGTCAACGTGTGTATTAAATACATACCCACACACAGATCAAGGAGCGGTTGAAATGCCCCCTGCCGATCCAGTGGCAGTGGCTGCAATCGAAGCACAGATCAAAGCTCAGGGACTGGTGGTGCGAGAGCTCAAGAACGCACAGCCCATTGACAAGACTGCCATCGGCACTGAGGTACGTATAATGCTACTTGCGAGTGTGCAGTGTATGCAGTATCGTGCATACGTCAACGCGCTTACGTACAGTGTTTCTTTCGAATGTGCTACTGTAGTGTGCCTACGTACATTGTTACTTGCGAGTGTTCTGTGTGTGCGGTGTTCTGTGCTCTGTGGTTTCGTCGTGTGCATGGTGTGCGGAGTGAACAGTAGCTTTAAGCACATGGATTGACTGTGCCTGAGCATCAGAACGCACAACCGCACAACCCATCGACCAGGCCGCCAGCAGTGCCGAGATATGAGCACTTTGTCTTGCGAGTGTGCGCCATAGGCTTTCACTCATGAGTTTAAACTGCTTGGTTGTGTTTTTGAAACGTCTGGTTTGTAAGTGTGCTTTATGCCTGTTGTGGTGTGCTCTGTTTATTCTGAAAACGTATAACGTATGTATATCATCTTCGCTGCGTCACGCAGTGCTTTGCAAGTGCACTGGGAGTCTCTAAGTCTGTGGACACAGTATATTTTCCACATGTGTTCGAGACACGTACAATAAGGCTCCCGATATGCCTATAGTGCTTTCAACGTCTACCGCACAGTAGAGTAGAATATATATATTAAAGTATGTCATGCCGTGACCATCTAATTTTTCGTAAGGGGAAGGCAATACGACTTTACTGTAGCGACCATCTTCCTTCTCTCACCTTCTCTGGTCTGACACTCTGTATTATAAGCTATTAGTGTACCACATTACAGTTTGAAGACAGTATATTATTCAATTAGTTGTGGCTATAAAGCCATAGCTCTACCGTATACTTACAGTATATACCATTTTTTAATTTAAACCAGGTCCAGGAATTGCTGAGGCTGAAGAAGGAACTCACTAAGCTTACCGGAGAGGCACCCGCCAAGGGCAAGTAGAGTCCATGGCCGATTTGGTTCAATTTAATTAAGTTTTCTGTAGATCGACATGGTGTGAACCTGTTTAATCCAATTAGTCGCTTGGGCCAATTAAACTCAGTGTAAAGGCATATTGAACATCGCCTGTTCTCTCCCTTTCTGAAACGTTCTCATTGGAATTGCATGCAATGACTACAATCGACAATATTCAGGTTCTACAATTAATATTTTTTGAGAGGGGTTGGGAATGTTTATTTGCGCAATAACCATCCATCGTTAACCGGCCTCTACAGACCAGTACAGTTCGCTACAACTTTGTGGTTACTTTTGTTCATCTCGCTGTACACCTGGATAATAATTTGTCCTAACAATATGAGTACACAACACTTTTATCTTGAAAGCCTTACCTACCTTGTATTAACAACACGTCCGCGTACTAAAAGTATACTATTTCACGTTACCCGAACTTCGCTGTAACAATAATCTACCGTCTTACACACCGAAGCACTTCGTCCTACTAGATGCCCACTTTTCTGTATATTGCGTACACTTCGCCGTATCAATAGTATATCCCATTTTATTTTGTGTGAATATCTTCTAGTCTCGAACGTCTACACTACCTACAATAAGTGTACTTCTGCATCATATAACCTTTTTGTATTTCGACATATACATACAAACGCACACGCACACACACACACACAC